ATCTCTTCGGCATAATGGGTGATTTGGGACTGCAAAGGGTTGCTGAAGTGCCGGAGATGCGTGTGGAGTTGGAGTCGCACTGATAGTGCACCAAGGAACTTGTTGGATACCATCGCCATCTAAGAGTCGTTAGTCGTGCCTGATGACCGTTACTTGAAGACTTACCTTGTGCTCTGTGAGCCACTGGGGATCTCTATCAGGAAACCTCGCGTACAGATCTTCAACACAAACCATATCCAGCAACGAATCACCCAAAAATTCAAGTCGCTGGTAGCACGGCACTTTAGCCCACGCTGAAGGGTACGAAGGGTGAGTGAATGCAGAACGCAAGAGTCGGGGATACTGAAATTGATGACCCAATTTCTCTTCGACTTTCTTCGCGAGATCAATTTCAAACCCGTCTGCTCTCACAGTCTGATACTGAGGAAGAGAGTAGTGACTGAAGTAATCTTTCCAGTTTGTTGCCGTGTGATTGTCACTACCAACAAGCGCGCTGACTGCTTTCACAGCCATGTCAAACCGGTGGTCGGGAGCACCCGAGAGTAGAGATGCACCTATCAACGCTTCGCACACATCTGCAATTGTTTTTTCTCCAAGTGCGTGTTTGCTTTCGGAAGTAACTTTCTTGCTGTGATCTTTACCCTTTTGCAGCGTAAGACCTACCGGGTACCATGTGTGCCTGGAGAACCCACGGCTCCGAATATACATGTAAAGCTTCTTCTTGATGGCGACATTGAACAGATTCTTGTTGCAAATGAGGCACATCCGGTTGACGTGATAGTCGTACTCGTCATCGTCCGGATTCTGCGTAAACAAGGCAATAGACGTGGCCATCTTGAGGAAGCAATCACCCAGGAACTCAAGACGCTCGTAGTTCTTTCCCATGCCACGCTGGAAATGGATCTGCTGGCCCTTGTGTTCTTCAGTGTTGTCGGAATCTTTCGTGAATGCTTCCAGGGCAAATTCAGGATGGACGACCAAGTCCAGGGTTTTACACGCGTCGAGGGTAATTAGATGGGAATCCATTCTGCTGATGATTGCAGGGAATGCGAGGAATGAAGTAACAAGTGAGGTCGGGATCTTTGCTAGTGTCAGCAGAGCCATAAATTATAACAATGGAAGGGGAAGCAAACAGCTGATATTCTCAGAGCTTCCAGGCAGACGACACTTCTGGTCTCTACTGCTCGTTCCTGCTCCACCATTCTGTCCAACAGATTTCTTCGAAGACGAACCAATTCAGCGCGAAAAACTGGTTGCTCCCAACTGGCTTTCGCGAAGAACCTGGCACGGGAATTTTTAGAAAGACTGACGCAGTAGCTCATGATATTGTCCATGTGTCTCCGACGATGCACCCAGTCCGGTGGAGGGTCAGAGGGACGCAAGGTATCATCCACTTCACCTGTGAAAAGCCGGAATCTACCATCCCAGGGATCGTAGACGAGTCGGTTGACCAATGACTTCAGTTCCATGTCAGTAGAGAATTGGACTTCCTCGTTCTTCTGGACGAAGGATAGTGTTTCCCAGTCGATCAAACCACGAGGCGGACTCGAGTTGTCCAGTTCAGTTGACTGGACTGCGGGGGCAAGCCAGTATGGAATTTTCTCTGGTTCCTTGGTATAGACCTTGTGGAACACATCGCGAAAGACGCGAAGCGTGAAATCAGCCAGGCAATCCAGCTCTTCATTGGAGACTTCCAAGAGGTCGAGCACAGTCGTTGAGCTGACGTTGGTTTCCACATCCTCGTCAAGGAAAATGGAGAACGACGGACACTCTGGGAGTCTTTCTCGAGTAAGCAGGATTATATCACCGTGCTCCCTTGAAAGCGGCTCTGAGGGGTTGAACGAGATGAGAACCGCATAGAGCTTGGTTGGCAAGGCTCCCTCCGGAATATCCCAGAAAGGCGGCTTTGATATCATATCGTATTGATTTGTATGCTTCGATGTGATGGCCAGTTTTGCATTCCGCATGGCAGGAAGCCGCCGATGATAGATCGAATTGAAATGATCATCGAGAAGCTTGTGCTTACGCAGCAGAAGACACGCGTCAAAGGCTGCGCATTGCTTTGCACTTGACTTTTTCATAGCCGGGCTTCCAGTTATTCCTCGAATGGGCGACTTCTCCGGTAGGATGACTTCGCAGACATAGGTGCTGTTCACAGGAAGGGTAATGTACGTGACTTGGGTCAACGACTCTTTCTCGTATTGCTGCATATTCTTCATTAGCGCTCGTTAACAATCAGACAAAGAATAGTCCCTACCAAGGAGCTGGCATAGCGCGCAAGAATAGCCATTGCCGAATGGTACGTTAACATTGCTCCTGTGGATGCAATCTTGTATGTCCGTTTGCTTTCCTCATGTTGGAGAATCATCTCCAAATCATGCTCACCGCCGTTGAGCAGTCGATCTTCTGGTAGGGCTTCACAGAAGCTTTGCATAATTTGCTAATGGCGAATGAGCTATCCATATACTATTAGGTTTGACGCCAACGTACCTCAGCATCCCGAACTTCCACAAGTCGTTCTCGATGTTCAAGGTTATTCTTTTCGACCATGGTAGCATACTAAACAGAACGTCATTATAGGTCTCCCGTGGCTTCCCTCCTTGGGGTACGTACGGTTGAGTCAGAATGCCGTGCACGGCCTCGGCTCTGTACATACTGGATGAGGGTATGATATAGATCAAACCTGACAACCAAGTTACAATCTGGAATATCGAGTCCCTCCTCAGCTACCGAAGTGGCAAACTGAAGACCGTTAGCGCACAGCACAAATCACGCGTTGGATCTAGCCTTACCAAGCAATTTATTTCTCCTTTTCGGAACTTGACCAGGGCAATGAACTGTTGACGGAAGGTTATGTTCATTCCAGCGAGATCACCAGATCGAACTCCAACCAGCACACCGGGACGCATGTATGGAATGTTTAACTCGGTGAATAGCTCGAATAATATTCTGGCCGTGTACCGCATGTCGGTAAAGACAATGCATTTGGTTTCCGTGGGATATTCAAAGTGCTTGCGAAGTTCTCTATGCAAGAGCTGCACTTTAGAGCTGAGTGAGCCGAGGGCATCGGGGCTGTCGAAAGTATGGTTCCTGACAATGTCGCTGGCATCCTTGATCCGTTCAATCTCTTTGTACGCGCTTTCGGGAACCCTGCCAGAGCTCTCATCATTGATGACCTTGCTGACTTGACCTTCAAGCTTTGGCAGCACATCTTCTGCTAAAGCATGAGCCCATGCCCGGTCGGAACACCATTTGCCCAGCTCGGAGCTGGCGTTCCAAGCAAATCTGAAGACCGGTTCTAATGATGCGATGTCACCAAAGCGGTCTTTCATGGTTTTATATAATTCGGTTCCAAATGGTGCTTCAAGTCTGTCGTATGCCCATGTCCTCTCTGTTGGCCGTTTGATGAATTGTCGTAGGAGGGTCAGGTTCGAGGTTGTTGCAATCTGGCTGTCCAGCAGCGTCTCTAGCTTTCTATCGTTGGTTAGTATACTCTCATGTCTTTGGGTCGTATCAAAACATACGCAGCTGCATCTACAATATCGCCTCGAGCGTCAATCGGTGATGCGGTCATTCCAAATACTCTCGGGCGCTTGGACGGAGGTTCTTTGAGATAGGAATCACGAATAATTCTAGGGTTCAAGTCAGTCATAGTTTCTCTCTTGGGGACCCTCAACACTAACCGCGCATAAGCGTGATTCTTCTTGGTGTGATGTGCCTCGTCGAAGATCAACAAATTGATCTGATCCATCCTCACATACGAATTTAAGAGACATTGGTTCAGAATCTCTGCCGTGCATACAATCACCATGTTTGCGTTGAAGTGCTCATCCCATGTCTGCTTGCTCCACAGGTCTGCTCCCATGGCACCAAAGAACTGTCCTATGTTCTGGTCGATGTTGTTGCGCAACACAGCACCCTGCTGGTATACGAGCGTTACGCTGTCGACCTGAAAGGTTTTAGCTATCCACGTTTCCCATATCATAGTTGATTCTCCATACCAGAAAGAATGAAATTCGAGGTGGCTTGCTCTCAGCACGATCATTCAGCTCTTTCTCGATGACGTGCTTCAGCAACAGCACAGCAATCAATGTCTTCCCAGATCCTAGAAATAGCTTTATGTTAAACAGCGAAGTCATCAAAACCAACACGGGAGTTGTTGCCTAACACTTACCCGTATCGAGGACCGCAATGGTGTTTTGCACTTTAGCCCTCTCAAAGAGCTCCAGTTGGTATTCCCGAGGGTCTAACGCCCCATGTCCTAGGTCTCGTCTCGCCACTAGATGTGCCGTAGAAAGCTCAGCATCGGGGATATCTTCGCGTACGGTTTTCTTCGTCACAGGGCCCGTATCAGCGCGCTTGGAAAGCCTGGTCATCAGTTAGGTCCAACAGTTGTTCAGAGATCTTGAATGGAAACCTACAGAGCCTCAAACGAAGCATTCTGTGCTCGTCGACGTCTTGTCACATCGTTCAGATCATCTGCTGGCTCCTTTTCTGCATCGCTGTCTGATTCACCAGAAGATATATATTCTTGCTCAGCGACGGCGTCTTCTATTGCGGGATTGTCGACTGGGTTCCCTGACAGGATGACATGGGGTCTCTGCTCATTAATGGAGCTCTGTCCCCCAGGATTCCCTGGGGTTGCCATTCTGGATCGAAGTAATGACTAGCAGATTGATCTCTCAGGGCAAGAACACGGGACTGTTGAGCCGTAGGTTAGGTAGTTGGTGGTTTTTCATCCTGAAAGAAAGGAGAAGAAGAGAAATTAGAGAGAGTCGATAGAAATGATTTACAGTGAATGCGACTTCCATTCTGAGCTGTCTACTACTGCCAGGGCTCCTGGTAACAAACAAAGCAACAAACGAATCGTTATCAACGCCGACTATCGCGGGGCTCCATAATAAACCCAGATCTAGCGGGGAGCTTCCACTCCGACCATTCGTTCCACCAGAAAAAAAAAAAAAAATATCTGTTCAACTCAATCAAATCACATATTCACAATGGATCCCGATCAACCTCAGAACTTACGATCTCTGTTCGTGACAGCAAAGGCAGACAAGACCGCACTAGAAGTGCGTCCCGACACCACCTCCGAGCTCTATCGCAGAGATGTAACCGCCGTCATCGCCAAGTTCGAGGAATGCCAGCGACTCATCAGATTACTCTCCTTGTTTAGTGCGAACGAGCCAATTGAAGAGGTGTCTACGGGGGATTTGCAGTGAGCTATTTCCTTCTTATCTTCTGGTTGGATTGCCGTGTTTGCTAATTTCATTTTTTTCTTTTTCAAGGTATCTGACCCTCGAATATCTTCTCGCGGACCTACTCCAACGATCGTACAGCTCGGATCGCGAAGTTCTCCTTCGGCGCTCTTTACAGAATTATGAGGGATACCTTTCACACATGGATGATTATGGGCTGCTCAACGATAGCAACCGAAAGCTCTACGAGCGATACACCTCGAAACCTACGTCCTTCTCGTTGACACCGATGAACGATCCCACCACTCGCAGAGAAGCGAAAGTATCAAGGTTTAGGGAGGAAAAGGAACTGAAGCAGAAGCTCGAGGTTCGTGATACTGTATGGGGATTCTAGATTCAAGGGTTATACTGACATTTGTCAAGTACTTCTCGCAGAACCACAGCCAGCTCGACGATGAAGATATCCGACGACTATATTTGGCGGAACTAGACCTCTATACCCATCAGACCTTCCAAGCCCTTGATTTGCTTGCACAAGAATTTTCAATGCTTTCGGCTATTCGCAACGCCGCACCTCCCCCGGACCCACGCCAACAAGAAGATACCAGAAGGCGGAACAACGCGGACCAGTCGGGCTATTCCGAACGTCTCGATCCTTCTCTATCCCAATTACTACGAGGTGGTAGAGGCGGACCAATACTCAACAGGGATGGAAGGCCAATGCAGCCGTTTACTTTGCTCGACCGTCGGACGCAGCTCCAACAAGGCGTGTTCAAGCCCAGCCATAATCTCCCCACTATGACAATAGACGAGTATCTTGACGAAGAGAATAGGCAAGGCAACGTTGTTCAAGGAGGCGAACAGTCGGGCATCCAGCCAGAGATCGACGAGGACGATCTGGACATAGCTGACGAAGAGACGATGAAAGCACGCGCTTGGGATGAATACAAGGAAGCGAACCCAAGAGGCTCTGGGAACACTCTCAACCGGGGTTGATTTCGCTATATTTCTTGATTTTATCAATATATATTGGGAGGAACTGATAATTGGGCCGGATTGTTATCACGACTAATGATACCATATTCCAAGGAAAATAATGCAAATTTCTTGCACATCAGTCATTCTATGTATTTTCACATGATTCTATGTCCATTTACAAAGGAGAGGACCAGCATCTCCATGGTATCAGTTCACTTTTATCATGAGAGCTATCCATCATTCCTTACGTCGTCACCTTGTTTTGCTGGATTTCCTTCAGAATGGAACCTGCACCTTTCTCGACCAGTGCCTTGGCGACCGTAACGCCAAACTCTTCAGCAGCTTCGGCAGAGTCAACGGCTCCATCGACTTCGACTTCAGCGCTCCGGCTGCCGTCTACACTGACGACAATGGATCGCATTTTTAACTTAGAAGATCCATCAGCGGCTTCGACCCATTCTGTCTCAGCTCCCAGTGGAGCACTGCAGCCTCCCTCCAGGGTCCTGAGCAGACTTCGCTCCGCCAACGCTGCCAGCGTAGTCTCCTTATCACCGACATTGCTCAGCATATCATGGATCTGCTTATCATCCTTGCGAATCTCAATCCCAAGAGCACCCTGCCCAACCGCGTGTAGCATAGATCCATTCTTCGAGTCCAGGTACTGAGAGATACGGTCCTCCAGACCCAACCGGTGCAGACCGGCCGCAGCCAAGATTATGCAACTAAACGGGCTATCCTCCGCATCCAACTTGGCTAGTCGAGTACCGATGTTCCCCCGCACATCCATGACCTTCAGGTGAGGGTATTTTCGTGCTAGTTGTGCACTCCGGCGGACGGACGAAGTTCCCACGACGGCTCCGGCGGGCAGATCGGCGAGACCCATTTGGGGCAATCCTTGCTTTATCACCAGGACATCTCTGCTGTCTTCACGCTTCATCATGGGGCCCAGGGTACATGACGACGGAATAAGGGTCGGCACATCTATCGGCAGAAATGAGTTAGTGTCACAGCAGGCAAAGTACCAAAGTACAGCACCAGAAACATACCTTTTAGAGAATGCACAATGAAATCCACATGCCCGGCAATCAAAAGCTCCTCCAGCTCCTCAGTCCAGAGGTTCTTGGTCGTAAACTCTCGGAAGGCAATGTCGGTATTCTTGTCACCTACTGTTTCGCGCGAATGGATATCAAACGAGCAATCGGGGTTTGCTTCTTTCAGCGCCGCAAGCACCAGGTTGGTTTGGAGGAGGGCCAGCTTCGATTGGCGCGTTCCGATGATAAACGTTCTCTTCGTTGCGGAGTCATCGGAGGAAGTGGGAGGCGGGGCAGACGTCATGGCGATTGATGCGCGGGCAATAGTACCGGGTGATAGGCAACAAAAAATAGTGAAAGGGTAACTAGGGACTGCTGCGGACTCTCTAAAAGAATGAAAAATCGAACTTTGCGCTCTTGCAGGTATCGAAGGTCCTTGTCGCCGTCGAAGAATCCAAACGTAAAACATTCCCCTCCGACCAACGGGCCGCCGATACGTATGTCATACCAAAGTTACCGTACTAATGTAAAGTATGTATTGTCACGTAATAACGCAACCCCGAATCACGGGATGTCCGAGAACAGCAATCGTCATATCTCGCCAGCCAGCGCAAGAGCTGAGTACTTGTAGGACTAACAGCCACCGCAACTCCAGATAATTTGTGAAGATTACTGACTCTGTCCTCTTCTCATAATAATCTCTTGTTTTTCTGGTGTGTTTCTGCGCCATTCAATTCCCTCGCCACCACTGTTTAGACGCTAACTCCCACGCGCAGTGGATCAGCGCTCCTCCCAGTCTAACCTCGGCATCGGGCCCTTATCTATCGCTTTCTCCCCCAGAGCCATCGCTTTCATCCACGGGGTTCTGGAACCTTTCGCGCCCGCCTTATAACCAACATTCCCCGTCTCCTCATAACATCTCCATTTCTGTCGTCATTGCTCCATACACTTCCCCGCGTTCTCTCACTTGTGTCGCTTTTGCCATTCTGTTCAACACCGGCTTGATACCATTCACTCTCAGCACTACTGCTGAGGTCCGATATCGCACATCTAGATCTGGATCTCACGAGGGCAGTCAAAGATGGGATCCTCTAAGAATGACAAGACTGGAGCGGTCAAGCTCGCCATAGTCCCGCTTCCCAAGGGCACTGTCCTGCTTCCTGGGGTCACCGCGCGGCTTCCGGTCCCCAATCGTCCGGACCTCTCCAACCTGCTGTCGTCGCTGCTGGACCAAGCGTCTAAGGGCCAGCGACATGAAAATAGCATCTCTTTCGGATGCGTTCCGCTTGATTCACCGTATTTGAGCAAGGATTCTCAAAACCTCATTGACGATGAGAGCTTGGATGAGGATAAGAAGGAGGAATACGAGGCTGTTGATGCTGGCCAGGCGAGGAAGGAAGATCTCTTCCATTATGGCACCGTTGGCAAAGTGGTTGGGCTTCAGCGTCGTGTGTACGGAGAGCCGTCTCTGCTTGTCCAGGGTGTTCAGCGCTTTAGCATTGAGCGGTGGCTGAAAGAGAGACCATTCTTCGAGGCGGAAGTCATCCTTCACGAAGAAAAAGGTAAGATATCCCCAGAGTCTTGACATAGGCGATAACTAACTCGATTATCTGTTTTATAGACCCCGGAATCAGCGACTCCGACACGGTGGAATCATTCCAACAATTAAAACGACTCTCGCGAGAGCTTCTCACCCTCCTACGGTTTTCGTCGCTAATACCTTCGCATTCTCCACGTCTATCGCCAATTGTCGCGCGCAAATTCGAGTTCCTTATTTCCAAGTCCGATTTGCCACACGCATCCAGACTTGCCGACTTCCTGGCGGATATTTCTGACTCAAGCGTTGAGGAGAAACTCCGGATCTTGGCTTCGTTGGATCTGCAGACCAGACTGGGAAGAGTGATCGAGATTCTCGATAGACAAGTCCAAAATATCAGGAACAATGTCAAGACCACTCATCTTACTTCATCATCGTTGACCCCAGGCTCTGCAATCGACATCAGCCAGATTGACCCGCGTGATCGTGAGCTCTTGGCTAAGCGGGCAATGGCTGGCCTCGCCGGTCTATCGCCCCCGGGGCCTCTTAGCAGGCGCAACAACAATGATGACGATGACAAAGAACTGAACGAGGTCGATGAACTTCAGCAGAAGCTTGACGAGGCACAGCTTAGCGCCGAGGCCAAGAAGGTTGCGGATAAAGAAATCAAACGTCTACGTAAAATGAACCCTGCTAATGCGGAATACGGCGTTTGCCGGTCCTATCTGGAAAACCTCGCTGAGATCCCGTGGTCAAAGTTCACTGAAGACCAGCTTGGCCCTGACACTTTGACGAAAGCGAGAAAGCAATTAGACGATGACCACTACGGACTGGAGAAGATCAAGAAGAGGCTGCTTGAGTACCTGGCTGTGCTCAGATTGAAACAGACAACTAATCAGGACGTCGAACAACAAATTTCTACGTTGACCAAGGACCTCGACAGCTCAGACGAGGACATTGAAAAGGATGTCCCGCTCCTGTCTGAGGCTGACAGGGTCTCGATTGAGGCTAAACTGGAGCTTCTGCAATCTAGGCGGATGGCAGACAAGTCGCCGATATTGTTGCTTGTTGGTCCGCCAGGAACTGGCAAGACCAGCTTGGCAAGGTCTGTGGCGGCTTCGCTCAACCGTAAATTTCACCGGATTTCGCTGGGTGGTGTCCGAGACGAGGCTGAGATCCGCGGCCACCGGAGAACATATGTCGCAGCAATGCCTGGCCTGGTAGTCAACGGCCTCAAGAAGGCCGGCGTAAACAACCCAGTGTTCTTGTTGGATGAGATTGACAAGGTTGGCGGTGCCAATTTCCAAGGTGACCCATCTGCGGCGATGCTCGAAGTCCTCGACCCTGAGCAAAACCATACATTCAGCGATCATTATATCAGCATCCCGATTGACCTGAGCAAGGTCTTGTTTATCGCAACGGCCAATTCTCTTGATACTATCCCCGCGCCGCTGCTTGACCGTATGGAAACCATCGCATTGTCTGGATACACCACCGTTGAGAAGAGACATATTGCCAGGCGACACCTTTTGCCCAAGCAGATCCGGGCGAACGGTTTGTCGGATGGACAAGTTGAACTTTCTGATGACGTCCTTGACAAGACTATCACGTCCTATACCCGCGAGTCTGGAGTTCGCAACCTTGAGCGTGAACTTGGCGCTATCTGCCGTCACAAGGCCGTTCAGTTTGCGGACGCCGGAGACACCGGCAAGCCAGAGACCTATAACCCAGTTGTCACGGTTGACGACCTGGAGGAGATTCTTGGTGTTGAGCGATTTGAAGAGGAAATCACTGAGAAGCACGGTCGTCCCGGTGTGGTAACTGGTCTTGTCGCGTACTCTACTGGCGGTCAGGGCAGCATCTTGTTCATTGAGGTTGCCGACATGCCAGGCAACGGACGCGTCCAACTGACTGGAAAACTTGGTGATGTTCTCAAGGAGAGTGTGGAAGTGGCTCTCACCTGGGTCAAGGCACACTCCTTCGAGCTTGGGTTGACCCACGACCCCAATGAGGATATCATGAAGAGCCGCAGCATCCACGTGCACTGTCCCTCCGGTGCTATCCCCAAGGATGGACCTTCAGCTGGACTCGCGCATACGATTGGCTTGATTTCTCTTTTTGCCGGCAAAGCCGTGCCTCCGCAGCTTGCCATGACGGGTGAAGTTTCTCTACGTGGTAGAGTGATGCCTGTTGGTGGCATTAAGGAGAAGCTTATTGGTGCATTGCGCGCTGGCGTCAAGACTGTCCTTCTTCCCCACCACAACCGGAAGGATGTCAAGGATGTGCCTCAGGAGGTCATCGATGGTATCCAGATTATCTATGTCAAGCATATCTGGGAGGCTATCCAACAGGTGTGGCCTGATTCCCATTGGGGACAGCAGCAAGTGAATTTTGTGGAGAGCCGTCTGTGATTTTTCACTACGGAGTAATAATCCGCGTTTCTTAATTTTTGATACTCTCCTATCCCGGATCTGTTTTCAATCCCTGATTTTGTGTTGATATCCGTCCATTCTTTAATTCTCCGACACATGTCGGGTCCCTTCACTGTTGCATAGCGTGATTCACATGCTTCTACGTCGTCTAGCGTCTATACTATGTTTGAATATCTGAATATATGATTCCAATACTATATACTTGAATCGAACTCTATGCCATTTTTTCACATGACGCTTCCGAAAACGGTGCCTCCATTTCCGGCGACCCGAGTGGTTAGATCATCCGCCTGCCCTAGTTGCGACCTCTGGACTGACGTTGATACCACCACTCCACCACTAACACAATGAAAAATGACACCACCAAGCGCAGAGACAGGAAATGTAGGTTTCCCTTTTCATCCCCTCTTCCTCTCTCCCGTCCGTCCGCTGAGCTAATACTCTACTAGGAATATGATGTGCAGACTGATCTACATCCATTGCACAATGTGATTGCCCAAGCAAACCCCTCGGAGCAAGATTCTAGCTCCGGTGACGGCATCCCGATTTACACATCCGGAAAACAGCGTCTGATATTCAGGGTCTTTTACGCGCTCATTGGAAATATCCAGAGCAGTAGGTGGGGGAAGCGGTCGAGTGTTTTGCATCTAGAAAACCTCCTCTCCCATTATGTCGACTCGACCAGGATCGCCATCGTTGTTGTCGCCGGATGGAGGTAAGATGAAGCAGCGACCAAGGCGACAAAATGCGAACAAGCCATCCGCGAAAAGGAAAAACGAGAAACAGCAGTTGTTATTCGACTCTGTGGCTGAACTGCTGAATCGTCAGTGGTGCACTGATCATATCAATCATCCTTCACCGTTTCATTCTTCATCCGAACGACAATGCTATCCCTATTCATCTGGCCCTCCATCTCCCCCTCAGCATGAACCTTTTCATAACGCCAACGCTGAGTCGCAAGAAGAACAAGCCCGCCGCAACCGGAGCGACGGGAGCAGACCAACAACACTTGTGAATTCGACCGGATCCAGCAGTAATCCTCCGTCCAGTCGATCCTCGCCCTCCCACGAATTCCATTTCGATTATTCCAACCAGTCTGATCTATCCCGCGAACGAACACAGCGACCACAAACGAGTAGCTACTTGGATGTCACCGCAATAGACGCATTTCATGACGACGATATACGAAAGCTGATAACCCGACTTGCAGCACAATACGGCCATGTTTCGCACATGGGCGTGCTGGACCCGAGTTATATATTCTTCGTCAATGGTGCTCGGACGGGTGCGTTGTCGTATAAACTCCAGAACCAGGTTGCTATAGTCACTGGGGACCCGTTATGTGAACCGGCAATTTTTGAGGATATCCTGCACGAATTCAGGGTATACCGGGCACGACGGCGCTGGGGAATAGTTATCATGGGCGCGAGTGAGATATTCATGAAATACGTCCGACAGCGCGGGTGGACGGCGATGCAATTCGGTGTTGAGCGAGTCTTGAATCCCATGGATAACGATGTTCTCATGGAGAAACGCGGGAAGAGAATTATAACGCAGAACAAGCACCTGCTAGACCCAAAGAAAGGCGGCTTCTCATTAGGCGTATATATACCGTCTGTTAGAACGGACCCAGTACTCCAACGCGAGTTAACGGAAGTATACGACTCCTGGCGCCATATGCGCAGCGAAACCGCCCGCGGCAAGTCTCAAGCCTTCATAACCATCTACGACCCCTTCTGCCTCCCCGACCTCATGATCTTCATCTACGCGCGCGGCGCCAATGGCGCAGCAATGGGCTTCGCAGCCCTCCGCCGCATACGCGATTCCCGCGCGTACCATCTCGACCCCTGCGTCGCGGCACCCTGGTCCCCCAAGGGCGTCAGTGAACTCCTAACCTACACCTCAATGACACTGCTAAACCAAATGAACATCTCCTCCCTAAGCTTCGGATACGAACCGCTCCAGTCACTCGGTGAAATGACGGGCATAGCATCCGGAATAGGAAAAGTCATTCGACATGTGTATCACTATACATTTCGCCGGTTGCCGTTGGCAGGGAAAAAGCCGTATCATGATAAGTTCCGGCCGGATGAGAGGCAGGATGCGGGGGTTTGGTTGGTTTTTCCGGGGGGTGTGCCTGGGTTGAGGCAGGTGTTTGCTGTGGCTCATGTGGCGCATATTAGTATTAGGAAGTTGGCGTGGCCGGAGGGGGGGGCTAAGGATAAACCGCGTCGGGTTTGGGAGACAGAACCAAGTTGATACATCATTATCATGTTGATTATTATTCACATATCCCTAGTCATACTCGTTGTATACAGGTAATTCTCTGAATACATTCAGGACACAGCGCTCGACCAAACATATGATGCAGAAAACAGTAGTGTCTTTAAAAGAGTGAGCTAGGTATCCTCGGCTGCACCATGAAATGCAGGAGGGATGGCCTCGGTAGAAATATAGTATTAATATCGTAACAGTGACCGACAGCGCATTTGTAGGCTCTCTGGAGCCAGCCGTTCGACCACAATAGCAAGGTTAACGGGAGGACTTATGCAGATGTTTGCGTCTGTACGTCTAGTTTTGTCACAGCTGCATGAGAATGATATCCCCAATTTCGTGCTGCATAATCATATAGTGGATTCTGTTGTAGTCACGCCACAAACTCCTTGTTGCTCAGACAGGGACCGCTTTCAAAGGTGTTGAATGAGAGATATGTAATGCAAATTATTGTGGAGTTTGACTCTGCATCAGGGAACCAATATTTCTTCCTCACTTCAAAGTAGTCCTGTGTTGTGTAGTGGACTAAATGGATGATGTTACTTTCTTCATCAACCACAACCAGTCCAGCACATACTGAGACCATGTCTTCAATCTGTGGAATGTTCTCTTTGTCAAGTTCTGGTGCTCCTTGTTCCACTGCAAGCGCGTGCTGCAGTTCTGAAGTAGTAAGCTGTCTCTTGGCACAGGTGATCCACAACAGAACACCCATTGCAAGGTCCAAGGCGTCTCCATCTTGCTCTTTGATTCGCCTCATAGCATCTTCATACGCCTCAGTATATGCTTCAGGCCCTGCTGAAATGTTTTTTAAAGTTTCCTTGATCTTCTTGAGTCTCTTTTTTGATTTTATCGAGTCAAAGTGAAGCTGTGCAAGAAGAAACCTAGGCTAATGGTCAGTTTCTCCAGTTTAGTTGAGCAAGTGATATGAGAGTTGACATACATTCCATCTACAACCTCTGTAATCCTACTCTTGATCTCTTCCTCATGTTCTTTCAAGAGTTTTGATTCAGTTTGTGAAATGTGGCCTACTGGCCTTCCAAATATTTTCACACATCACTTTCATGAGCACGAATCTCTAAAGTGATACCATTGAACTTCTCAGCAATCTCTGGTATTGGCCTAGCAGTGGCAAAGATGTTTACTGAATTACTGGGCACTTCTTCTGAAGGTCAAAAAGCTGGGATAGGAACACCTTTCAGCAGCCATCTGATGCCTGGCATTCATCAAGTGCGTCAACAATAAAGAAGACTCTTGAATATGTTACCAGCACAAATTGGAGAGCTGTTGACAATTCATCTAGTGATGGCTGTGTCCATCTATCCTTATGTTGTTCATAAAGTTCTTTCACACTTTCCAGTAGAGAAGATTGACACTGGGATAGTTGTTTGAGTATACTTGCTAGTAAGTCTTCAGCCTTCTGCTTGTCTTTCCACTGGAAGTTGCAGTAGATGTATGCAAGACCAATGGTTTGGTTAGTAAAGCACTGCATCATGAGGTCATTAATCACAACTGCAGTGAGAATTGTCTTTCCAGCCCCAGGAATCCCTGGACAGAATAGCATCTGCTTATCAGACTTTAGCCAACCCTGATATTTGGTGGATTCTAGAAGCCATTGACCAGTTCCTGGTTGTCATCTCTTGATATAGTCACTCTGCTGCGGGCCATAGTCAGTTTGAGTCAGCCAGTCAAGTACTTCATGGTCTTCCTTTCTAGTCAACTTTAAACTCATTGTTTCAATGTTTACTCCGGCTCTGGATAACGTTTCATGAACTATATCTATTATTAGGATGACGAGTCCACATAAAAATGGTGGCTGAAAGATGACTAACACACATGAAGAAGCTCACTGATCCTCTTCTCAGCCTCAACCCTGTTTGGAGCAACTCAATGGAGAAGATCTTTTGCATATGCAGCTGCTGTCATTGCTGCATATCCTTGCCAGTCCTTATTCTTATGGGAGTCTGAGTAGTCGCAGATACCGCAAATAACCAGACATGGAAAGTGGTTCATCAGCCCTGCTGCTTCCATCTCAAAGCACAGAACATCCTTCTCTGCAGCAAGTCTATCTCGAATTGAAGCGTCCTTCATCAACTGGTTTGCTGAAGCAATCAGGCCATAGTGAATTGCTGGATTATCCTCATCCTCTGTCCGTTCATGCCGCATTACCAAGTGTGATGGATCATCTCCACAGACTGTGTGACGGCTTGACACTGCGTCAACGGCTCAGTGCTGCGTCAATGGCTGACACTGATAAACGGCACCAACATGCTAGACGAGTGGTGATGTCAAACAAACGCCTATAAAACCTCTGTTTCCTATAGATAGATGGAGCAAGAAAATTGGCTTTGACTCAAAGAAAAACTTTGGAAATCAACTATAAGAAGGTAACGCGAGATGGAGTAAGTCAAAAATATCGCGACTGAATTCAGCTGCACGAGCTGAATCTGGTGTGGAGTTGGGCACCTTAGCATAGTCGCCCGCCACTCTGTCACATCATCCTGCATAAGGCTCCATGGAATCGAATTCGAAAATAATTGTAGTATATGATCGAACTACAGTCTGTCTTAGCTGTTTAAACAAGATATATTGCTTACCGTATATGGCTACGTGACGCACTAGCATCGGTGTAGAGACTTCCTTTACAGCAATTTTGCATGGTTGGCGTCTGCGACAGTGTACATTATGGTCTTGACAGCCATGCAAGCTCTCTTAACGAATGGGCCGCTACCCGGTGGGACCGCGCTGGTTTCGGGTAGGCGATGCGAAATCTCGCAGTCCCAAAGTGACTGCGGCGCAGGGCCTCCACACACACAGCGCCTAGGGTAGGGCGGTGATTCGCTAAACCACTATGCTGGGAACAGGCCGGAACCCCCGGAAGTTGGAGACACCGGGGTCTGGACGCTCAATTCCTTTCTGGATGTAGCATGGCGTTGACCAGTTCAGATAAGGATGGGTGATGGCCCGACCCATAGGGATAAGGAGTTATGCCAATCCCTACTAATTGCAGACAAGGCAGAAACCGACAACGTAAAGGATCGTGGGCGTGGCAGTGTAAACATACAGATAACTAGAACCGTGCCGCAGTGAATTTTAGCGCCAAAGTATGACATTATCCTACATCAATTCATGCTGTTTTTGTAATGTCGGAGGTGTGTCGGGCTAATGCTTGCCTGGAACTGGTCGACATCTATATCTAAAAATTTTGACATTAGTGTCTCCATCATCCAGGTGGTTCCGGACGGATTACCAACTACGCCGTGTTCCTGGCACAGTGGTTCAGCAAATCAATAGACCGTCCTAATCGCTGTGCCTGTGAGGCCAACTGTGCCGCAATCACTGTGTAGGGCTCGGTTAAAATGCTATTACGACAATCAAATTAAAGCAAGGCGAATGACTTTAGAGATCGGAGCATAGATCCTGCGGAATATGTCGTGTGCAGAAATACCACACCAATCGACTTCGTTACATCGGTCCACGACAAATCAGTGGATGTTAATCCTTCTCTGCTCATTCTACATTTGCCTCGCTCGTGCCCGGTTTTACTGTCCGCCCATGCCAACGCTCCTATCCCCAAGTTATACAATTAATATTCCATTACATTTATATACCCGGCAGCCTCCATTTAACGATTGAAATTGCGCGGCGCTGGGCGATGTTGGGTGATGGCTCACCCTCTCTATAGTGCACTCACCTACTCCCTGGTCAACCAAGAGAGCAAAACCCCCCTTTTATTTTATTCTAAAGACAGCTATAAGTCTTTTCAACACTAAAGTAAATACATACGACCATAGGGTGTGGAGAACAGGGCTTCCCGTCCGCTCAGCCGTACTTAAGCCACACGCCGGCCGGTTAGTAGTTGGGTGGGTGACCACCAGCGAATCCCGGCTGTTGTATGTTTTTTTGCCTCACTCGCTACGCGAGTGAGGCTGTAGTCAGTTTATGCCAGTGACCTAGAGCACTAGTTGGGTGTAGGTATTGCGGTTGTGGTTAGTCCGCAGTGTAGACATGAGGTATGTGGCAAGAAGGTTTTGAGGATATATATTTACATGCAGTGTTGGATTAGGGCACGTAATGAGTGGAGTCATGATGACTGGACCTTGTAAGAAGTCATGACTCGTCAGCTCGGTCGACTCGTGGCCTTTTTGTACAGTCCACAAAAGCTATATCAATCTCTCGAAAACTGAAAATGTGATATGCTTATCTGTGTGGCTTTGGTGTCTTCATTTTCTGAGGATGTCCTGTTGTTCGCAGCCTAGACGGGCAAAACATGAATATATCATATGGTATGAAACCCGCTTGCCGCTAGTGATCCAAGGGAGTTCTCTCAGATCTCGAATGTATTCTGATGGTGTATAGACGCATGTGCGGAAGTAGTCCCATTATTCCACATCTGAAATTTGGTCAGCATGTAAAACTTGTACCTTTGTTTTTGTCTAATGGGTAACAAACGAGGGTCTATGAGCTCTGGTGCTTCGTAGCGAATTGTCTTCACATGTTGTCGCATTGGGGACTTGGACGCTTGCTCTAGGCGTTCAAACCCTGCTTTTGAGAAAGAAATCCTTAATTTTTGAAACAAATGAAGGGCACAGAGAGCTCTAAATTGCTTGTTGACACGCGAGAGCTCTTCCAGAGACTTGTGTAGATGGTCAATTTTTATGATGATATCCAAGTGAACTGCCAGAATTCTTTTTTTTCTTTTGCTTTTTTTAAAGGATCGATTTTCTTCCTCAGAAGTGCTCAACATAAATTAACCTCGGGGACGATCTACAGCCACACTTTAACTCTCATATCATTCCTCATTCGCACAAGCCTAATTCCCACAATGGATTTCCACCATCTATCCTCTGAACCCTCATCCTTGCTTGACATATCCAGGTTCCAAAACCCCAGTCTTCACTTCCCACAGGCACAAACCATTGCTCCTGTTGCAAAAGTAAATAATATCCAGCAGGAAAAAGATCTAATCAATGACAGTGCACGATTTTTTCACTCTGCCCCTCACGTTCCATTTCAAGAACTACTACTCAGTCTGCATGTACTTGGTCCCACATTGATAAACATGGTGATTCGGAGCAAGCCGCATTTGTGTTGGCTGGTGGACAAGCTGATATCCGGTTTACATATGGCTTGGAAATATCACGCATTGTCTCCACGTTTTAAGTTAATGATGAGACACGCTAAGCTTTTTCGAATTCTGTAAATTTTTCTTTCTCCATGAGCGGGCGATATTCTGAATACGACCCTGTAAGCTGAGGTTTAGTACGATTCTGCAAAAAAGGTAGATGTGTCCAAAAAATGTAAAATTTTAGGTAAGACAATAATAGATTGAAGATATAAAGCAATTTGGTTTTGCCGATTCTTACTTCTGTCCAAGATAAATCTTGGACAGAAGTAGCCGTACCGCACAAACGTCTATAGAGACTGTTAATTGCCCAGATAGATTTCCTTTTCTTCTTCCTTCCCAGATTCGATATTCTCGTCGATGGCTACAATAGTCTATGTCACGGAGCATAGACATTCACTGAGCATGGACAGTCACTGAGCCTCGCTTAAACCCTTTGCACACATTAGATAGCTCGTCGCCGGCAGGCCTG